CAGAGTACCGGGTGGGCTGTGGCCGGTACCCAGCAGGTGCCCACGGCCGGGAGCTGGCAAGTCGCCTTCCTGCTAGGTGGAGCCCTCACCCGTCCACCGAGGAGCAGTGCCGCCCGCGGGTACACTCCTGCCGGTGAGCGACCCTCCCGGGCCAGCCCTAGAGAGCCGCCGGACTGTCATCTCATTTCTGGACCGACAGCATCTTACAGAAAGTGCCAGAGCCACGAGTATGGCGTGACCTCCATGTGGATCCTGCATGTGCTCTGTACGCAGGCGCGAAGGGCCCGGGGAAGGCGTGAGCAAGCAGACAAGGGGTCGGCAGGAGCCGTGGGGCCATTACCTTCCGTTCTCTGGACTCAGTACCTAAATAATAAGTACTCACTTCTCTTCTAATACATATAAAGACAGAAGCAAGTACCCCTTAGTGGCTAAGAGATACCCCTCCCTGGGCGGGGTCTGTGGTGTGTGTGGGAGGACTCCAGGTGTGCAGTTAACACTGGGTGCTCTTACGGTGATGGAGGTTCAAATCCCAGTTTGTCTGCTGGGTGACCTTGGGCAAAGTGCATAACCTCTCTGTGCTTCCCTTTCCTTACTGCAAAATGGAGTGTTACAGCTCCTGCCTCACCAGATGCTGGGGGAGCAGATGAGCCAGGAGTGCATGGGCTGGGGACACCAGGGCTGAGGGGAGGCACGAGCACCTGCCTGCCCGGCAGAGCAGCTGCCCAGCACCCGCCACCCGCCACGGTCCAGCCTGGCTTTGGGGAGAGCGTCAAGCCCATGAGGTCAGGGAATGACAGCCCGACGGTTTCTGCTTCTTGCAATATCAGGACACGGAGAGATTTTCAGCCACCCAACCGCTAAGATTCCAGGAACTGGCTGGCCCGGTGCAGACCCCCCAGCCGCAGGGGCCACCGGGCACTGGATGGGGTTTGGACTCAGTGCAACATTAGCAGTGCAGGCACACACGGGGGCACCGAGATCTTGTCCCAGAGAGAAGGAGGCATCTTACTAGTCGTTTTCTGTGGGTTACATGCTCAAATGATAATGCTACGGATACAGTGGGTTAAGTGCACTGCACGCCAAAACTCCTCCGCCGTTACTGTTTACTGTGGGCACTGGAAACCTTGGGGTCTCGACTGGCATGGCTCCCAGGACACTGCCGAACTGGCCACAGTATGCACAAGCCCTGTGAGGGCGGGATTCTTTTTTTGTTTTCCTAGAGGGCACACCCACTTGCCAGAGAAAGACAGAGAGAAGAGAGCACCTCGCCATGGACGATTTTGGATCGTGGCACGCACACATGCCTGGTGCCTTTCTCAAGCTGCTGGACCTGGGACTCAAACCGCGGGGCTGGCCACACGGGACCTGGCTGCCTTAACCACTGGGGAGTAGGTGGTCCACAGCCACCTCCACGCCATCCCGGCAAGGCCCAAGGACAAGGACTGCTGTCTCTTCGGTTCCCTGCTGTGTCCCAGCCCCTAGGACAGCGCCAGCTGCGGAGATGTGAGGCCAGCTCACTACTCGGACGCAGGCCCACCCAGACCTCCGTGCACAGGCCACGTTCCTAAAAACCAAGTGGCCGAGGACGTCGGCGTTGCTGGCATGGGTCCCAGCCTCCTTGCGAAACCTCTGAAAGGCTGCCCTGCCCAGCCCCCTCCCCGCCCCCCCCCGAGACACTCGGACAAGCCCAGGCCCCTAGCCTGAGAGCTCTTCCGGACATTTCGCTGCTCCCCGACGGCTGTGACCCAGCAGCCGCCTGCTCTCTGCCCTCCACCTCTGCATGGACACATTTCGGCATTTTCAGGAAATCCTCTTCTGGAAGAGGACTGCCTCTAAACCAGAGCCTCCTGGAGCAGAGCCAACCCGTGCCCATGCGCAGAGAACTGGCAGGAGGCCTCGGAGCCTGTGGGTTTGATGGAAGGGCTCCCTAAATCTAACACGCGGTTTGCTGTGAGCTGCTCAGTTCTCAGTGCTCAGAGCTTCCTGGGACAGACTGTGACCCCTCACCCCGGGTCCCAACAGCTACCAGGGTCAGAACCCCCTTCGGCCCCAGGACTGGCTCCCACAGCTCCTTCTGGGACAGACCCTGGGACACCCCTCGGTCTTGTGTGTTGCTGAGTGGCTACTGAGGCTTGTCCAGAGGCGAGGAGGGGTGTGGCCACTCCTGAGCTGCCTCTGGATTTTCTGTTGGAGCCATGTCACCAGGGATGTCCCCCGGACAGTGAGTTCGAGCCCGCTGTGGTACTCTCAGCCTCTGCAGAGGGACCTCAGGCCCTGCTCCTGGGGCCGTCACCTCCATCCTGCGTCTCTGGCAGGTGCCACGTCCCATGAGGGCAGAGGTCTTGCTGGTATCCCCTGTGGGATCCCAGGGGCCTGGACACTGTGAGGATGAGGATGAGTGGGGCTGGAAGAACAGGCTCCCGTAGGAGCCCCGTCCCTCGTCCTGGGAGATGGTTCAGGCAGGCCGCTTCCAGAGCAGGCCGCTTGACCCTACTGAGGAGGGCCCTGGCACCTGGAGGTTTGAAACCGACCTAGGTGTCATGTCCTAGTAACACGCCCCCAGGTTTTATCAAGCGTACCCCCCTGCATCCCTGGGTGAGAACTGGGCAAGCACTGTCGTCCACAACCCTCGCAGCGACCCCCTGACAAGGACCCGTGGACAAGACTGCCAGCGAGGTCAGGGGCTCACACAGCTTGGGCAAGACGAGGCCCCTCGCCACTTCCCGCACGCTGAGCCCCCACCCCTGCACGCTGCCCCAGGTGCCAGCCACAGGCTGGCCCTCCCGACACCCCCTGTGGGCCCCACGATGAGGCCCTTGCCCCAGCCCACGGAGAGGAGGAGGAATGTTCTAGGCCCCCAGCCCACGGAGAGGAATGTTCTCGGGGTCAGACAGGCAGGGGAACGAGGCCACCCGCCCCACTTCCCAGGACGGTTTGCTTTCCAAGGGGTACGAGGGAGCCCTGCAAATTGGCGTCCTGGGATTTCTTTCTACCCCGGCCAGGAAATTCCACCTAATCAGCTGCTTGACTGGCCTCCCATTAAATCGACGGAATTTCCCTTCATTAAGCTCTTTCCAAACAAAGGTCACAAAAGCTGAAGGAGAAACGGCCGTCACCTCCAGCTACGGCGCTGATGACAGGGCAGAGCCCCCGTGCGGGCCCAGGGGACATTGGTGACTCTCATGTCTGTGCACCCAGGAAGGGGGCCCCGGCCCAGCACGGTCTCCGGCTTACACCCAGCACACGCTCTCCGGTGCTCATGTCGGGGCGAGCTGCCCCGAACACACACTGAGGTCCTGACCCCGCGACCACAGGTGCCTGGTTTTGGAGGGAGGGTCTTCAGAGGGGTGTGTAGAGTGAAACGAGGCCAGGAGGTGGGCCCTGACTGGCGTCCTGGTAGGAAGAGATCAGGACAGACATTGCCCAGCGCGAGGACACATGGAGAAGATGGGTGTGAAGAACATTCTAGAAAGGCACGCCCGAAAGCCTTTGGAGTCTACACAGGCTTTGACCCAGAAACGTTCTAGGGATTTAAGGAGCCATCACGATGCACAGACGGTCCCCAAGAAGCATGTTGGCCAGGGTGTGGCTCAGCCCCCCAGCATGGAAAATGACTTTCATCCCCAACAGCGAAGTGCGGCGGGTCTGGGCAGTCACCGGCAGAGACGTGCAGTGGTAGATTTTCAGAGCGACCTCTGAGTGCTGAAGTGACAATCTCGAGTCCCCAACACAACCCTGATCTACCACGTGCTCATGGCTGTCAGGTACAGCACCACCTCAACTAACGGTCCCGAGGACCCAGGAGGTAGGCACCCTGTTACTCCCATGTCACAGGTGAGATGCCCGAGGCTCGGGGAAGTCGGGAGGCACGTCCAGGGTCGCAGCGCTCGTCAGAAGCACAGCCCAGGCTGCTGGACCCCACTCTGCTCTCAGACTTCACTATTATGTGCTAGGACAAAACCACAGCCCCACCGCATCTGTGTAGTGGGGTGCACACGCATGCGCACACACAAACACACATATGCAGAGAAAGGCCCAGCACGACACACCAGAAAATCTACCAGCACCTCCGCCAGGGGGCCCATCGTGAACGATGGTTTTTCTTTGGGCTTACCTGATACCGCTACGGATTCTAAACTTTCTACAAAAACACGTCAGTAACAACCAGGCTCTCATGTGGGAAGAGAGGCAGAGCGCGCGGGTTTGGCCTGGGTGTCCCGGTAGGAATCACTGCCGCGTGTCCACCCAGGCTGCACTGTGAAGGATGCCGACTTCCCCCGGCCCTTCCCTGGCTCTGGGGCGGCACCAGCGGCCTAGGGTGTCAAGGGGCAGAAAACAGCGCCCTACCTTTCTGACTGCACCCCGTTCTTGAGCGAGCCCACGTAGGTCTTTTTCTTGTCCACGGGCATCACGTCCACGTGCCCCCCACTTTCATCCCTGATGACGCCAGCGTGCACAGCTGCCTTACAGATGCTCGAGGTCTGAGGGCACAGGAGAAGCCGGGGTCAGCATTGGGGGTTCAAACCCTGGGGTCACGCCTGCCGGGGGCAGCCTTACTTAGCTTCCTGTTTGGTGGAGTGACAACCACACTGACCCCTAGGAAATAACCATAGCCACCTTCCGTGGTGGTCTCACCAGAAAGACCGGAATCATCTGTCATTCATTCACTCAGCAGGTGTTTCCTGAGCGCCCACTGTGTGCCGGGCACTGTGCATACCTGGCACTGGAGGACTCAGCAGGTAACAGAATCCAGACCCTGCCTTCATGGAGTCAGGGGGCTTCCGCCATGCAGAAAATAAAACCAGATCAGGAGATGAAATAACGGGGCGGGTGGAAGAGACTTTCAAACCAGTTTGTCCGGGAGGACTGGGTACGGCCTCGGGACCACCTCTGCACAGACCGCCCCACGGACCGCCCCAGGCAGACGACGCGGCTCACGCGAACTCGCCATGTGGCACAGCAGGAAGGTGGCCAGGGTGCTGGGACACTGTGGGGCAGGCGGAGTGGCCAGAGAGGCAGGCAGGGCCACAGGGTCTGGGCTATTCTAGGTGCCCAGGGAGCCACTTTCAAGCAGGGACAGAGTATGATTGTGTTTTTTTTTTTGGGGGGGGAGGTTGGCTATAGGTGCACGTGCTTGCCAGAGAGAGACAGAGACAGAGAAAGTCTGAGGGGGAGAGCGGAAGAGAGAAAGTGGATGGCCACGCCACAATCCCTCCTCCATTCTTCTCTCAGGATTCAGGGCACGCACACATGCACCAGGTGTGTTTTTCAAGCTGCCAGGTCCAGGACTCGAATCGTACCAGCAGCCTCTAGAAGCTGGAAAAGGGAGAAAATGGATTGTTTCCTGGAGCCTCTGGCAGGAGCTGGCCGCTCACACCCTGCGCCAGCTGGAGGGGCCTGTGGTGGGGTCCTGACCTCAGGGCTGCAGGAGAGGACTGTGCTGCTCCAGGCTACGCTGTGGGGACAGCACCGACAAGAGCCCCCGAGGCCACTCTAATGCAGTGTCCCACCTGCGGGGTCCAAGTGATGGAGCTACTAAGTCCTTAGGCTCCAAACGACATAGGAAACAGAATCCCAGGGAAACTGCGCCTTGACAGCAGGCGCCCGGGGCTGAGAATCCCTGCGGCTCAGTGTTCCTCAGCTCTTGTCGACTTAGAGAAGGACAAAGGTGAATCGTGGTCCGGCCCTCACTCACAGCCGTCCACACCCATGGCCACCACTGGGCTGAGTCTGCAGGCACTGGGCGGACAGGAGGGTTGGCTGTGCCACATGTCACCCCATGTGGTGAAGCCAGTGTGTCTGAGTTTAGAAACTTAAACACTGCCAAGGCAGAGGGTCACTCTGCCGGAGGTCAGGGCAGACTCTGGTCCCTCGGTCCCACCCCTCTCTGCATAGCCCCAGCCCCAGTAACTGTCTATGGGACAAACAAGATCCCAAGTGCTGGTTAGCCAAGCAGGTATCTCCTTCGAGAAGACAGTGACGAACCCTGCCCGACTCCGTATCCGAGGTGGCAAACGGCGTCAGATCCACGGACAGAGAATACAAAGGTGGGGGCCAGGGCAGGCCAGGGTGGCCGGGCCGGGGCGCCGCTGTCCAGTGGGTCCAGGGCTGGCCGGCTGGGGAGCCGGTGGGCCTGGGCCCCAGGGTCGCACGCGTCCTGGAGCTCTAGCTCTCCACACGCGACTTGCTCAACACCACGAGCCGCACCACGGGCTGAGAAGGAGTGACTCAGGCGTGTCGGTTTGCAAA